ATAAATTGAAATGGCATTTGAGAAATTGATTAGTGGCTGGGACACATGGGATAGCTATTACTAAGACATTAATCATTTACAACAGAGTCATATGACTATTTCCATATCCTTTTCTCAATGGTGCTGACTTCACGATGATCTCTTCTTGCCCATTTTCTAGAAGAAAGGAACCCACAGAGAAGATACTATGTTATTTAGAGAAACATAATTTATAATAAATTCTCCCAAACTGCTAAAATCTAGGATTAACTATACAAGATAGGCAGCTAGCAAATGCACATTTAATTACCTTTGGAGTTGCCCAGATTCTATCCAAACTTAATGTATCCAAAACATATTGTGTGAATAAACCCAGCTAGACTTTTTACAATACATCACAGCAGCCTTTATCAAGAGCATAGTCTTCTTTCAACAACTTTCTTCCTGCTGTGCTTTATGAGTGAATATTAACTCATTCATCATTTCTAAGTCATAGCCCATTTATGGTACATTGACCTCTTAAGTGCTACCATAACTATTAAGACTTTTGTAATGACACCTCCATGTTGGAGGATGGTGAGTCTATGGGAGCAAATGCTCTTCCTTGGTGGGGAAGTAAAGCTAGAAAGATTCAGGGGTAAGGGCTGCAGAGCAGAGCCTGGAGATGATGGCATGGTTTGGAGGTGACTGGGAGCTCAATGAGCATCCATGGAAGTTCTGGGCTAAGAATAGGAATAATGGTGAAAACATGACCTAGACTGGGGAAGGTTTCTTCAAGTAAAGTATTAGAATGCCTTAAATCAGGTTTCAGTGGGGCAACCTAGGTCAAAGGGTAGAAACTTCCAGTTAGGAGAATAATCAGTTCTGAGGACGTAACCACAACATGGTGATGACAGTTAATAATTGTTTAGTCTACTTCAAAGCTGCTGAGAGTGGAACATTTTAAGCATTCTTGCCACCCACACAAACATTAGTGAACTACATAAAGTGATGGCAATAATGTATTCGTAATAATTCCACAATGTATATGCATATAAAATCATCACACTGTCTACCTCAGATATATACAATATATTTTTCAATGATTCCTCAATAAGGTTAAAAAAAGAAAAAAAGCAGATCTCCTTAGGAGAGTGGGAATAGAATGGACCAAAATGAAACACCTAGACTCGCTTTCAAGTTAATTCTTTGAAGGCAAAGAATTCACACTCTACCCTGGGTTGCTTCAGTGCCATGGATATGGTTTTAGGGTTGTCTCAGTATGTATTCTTCTCATATTTAACTTATGAAATAGAATACACAAAGACACTTAGAGAGAGAGAGATGAGGGCTGGAGTTGGGGTAGAGAATTGGGCAGGAAATACCCCTGTAATCTCCATATGAATCAAAAAGTAGAACACGGCCACCATCTCCACAGTCAACCATCCTGTCCTTACTGCTCCCCTTCCTAAGAACTAACTATTCTGTTGACATTGATCTGCAATCTCCTCCGTGCCTAGTGACCTTAGTCAAGTATTTATCTTAGCTGTTACAGAGTTTTGTTGTGGATCCAATAAGAACAAAGTGAGTCTTTGTGAAGATTAATTAGTGTATGACACCCAGCAAACCCTCATTTAAAGATTTTGCAAAGGAAACAAAAGCCAAAATAAACTTTTGGGACTTCATCAAAATCAAAAGCTTCTGCACAGCAAAGGAAACAGTCAACAAAACAAAGAGGCAACCCACGGAATGGGAGAAGATATTTGCAAATGACAGTACAGACAAAAGATTGATATCCAGGATCTATAAAGAACTCCTCAAACTCAACACACACAAAACAGATAATCATATCAGAAAATGGGCAGAAGATATGAACAGACACTTCTCCAATGAAGACATACATATGGCTATCAGACACATGAAAAATGTTCATCATCACGAGCCATCAGGGAGATTCAAATTAAAACCACATTGAGATATCACCTTACACCAGTTAGAATGGCCAAAATTAGCAAGACAGGAAACAACATGTGTTGGAGGGGATGTGGAGAAAGGGGAACCCTCTTACATTGTTGGTGGGAATGCAAGTTGGTGCAGCCTCTTTGGAGAACAGTGTGGAGATTCCTCAAGAAATTAAAAATAGAGCTTCCCTATGACCCTGCAATTACACTTTACCCCAAAGATACAGATGTAGTGAAAAGAAGGGCCACCTGTACCCCAATGTTTATAGCAGCAATGGCCACGGTTGCCAAACTGTGGAAAGAACCAAGATGCCCTTCAACGGACGAATGGATAAGGAAGATGTGGTCCATATACACTATGGAATATTATGCTTCCATCAGAAAGGATGAATACCCAACTTTTGTAGCAACGTGGATGGGACTGGAAGAGATTATGCTGAGTGAAATAACTGAGTATACAGTAAGTATCAGTAAGTATGGTAAGCACATAACGTTTTCCTAAGTATATTACTGAATGAGACACGTTGTTTCAGATTGTCAGGCTCTACTAATTATGTTTATGGGTTTGGCCTAATTATTTTCTCTATGATTAGGTTTCATTTTTTTTAAGTGAGCTTATTAGAAATACTTCTCAGAATTATTGGGAGAATTTAAAAAGTTTATGTTATGCATGTGGGATGCTCAAATTGCAAGCTTATATACAAATTATTAAACCTACTGATAGTGTAGTAAAGTAATGAAATGAGGCCATATGATCATTCATAGCAAACCCAAAGTTTATTATGTTTATTATGATCAAGGTTTTTCAAATCTTTGACAATAGCAGAAAGCCCAAAGTTTAAGCAAAATCTTAACTGAACGTATAAATTTTCAAGACTAGATTTACCCTTTTTAAGAAGGGGCCTCTAGAACAAGTGAACACAAGTTCCTACAGTGAGGGAAGAACTACAGCAGGGAGTAAATGATGACCTCTTTCTTCTAACCACTGCTCTTACAGAGGGACTATTTGTGGCTGGAGAAGCATATCCAAGGACATGACAACATTCAGTGCATTGTATTCTCTAAGAATAAATTGCATTCTGTAAAATAACAGAGATTTTTATTCTCTTTTCTTACTCTTTGTAATTGGGCTATATATGCAGGAGAGAGGAACAGATTGAGATTGCAGTTTTGTTTGAATATTTTCTGAGTTTTATAGACTAAGATAGTTTGTCGTAATTTATTATCTCATTTTGTCATCTGCATATCAAGATTAGAATGGCTGAAATGGTTTAAGGATCACGATTTTGGAGGTTATCTGGTTTTGCATGAAATAATTAGGTAATTGGAGGAAAGGGGTCTTTAAAATTAAATTTCTTCTGTTCCAGGTATGGACTCAGGCTCTAGATTCAGAAAACTCTGATTTTAAATTCTGTTTTGCTAAATACTAGTTAGATGATCTATGCATACTTTATCAGGAAATTTTCAATATTTTCTTTCCTTTTTTTAAAAATAGATTCTCTTTAAGTAATTTCTATACCCTAAATGGGGCTCAAACTTACAATATCACAATTAAGAGTTTCTTGCTCCACTAAGCCAGCCAGGTGTCCCTGTATTTTCTATATACTTTTAATTAAAATCCCTTCTATTTGGAACTAGGAGATTAGGTTAGTGCCAATCTCAAAGTTACCTTCCTGCTCAAAATAATTTATGGCATTAAAATTTTATTTTCTACAAGGAGTTGTATTTACTAGACTTCATTATTGATAGCCTCACTGATTTGGTAATTCCAGCACTTATACTCTTATGGTTAATAAAGCAAGAGTCATTTCTTGATTTTTTTGAGTTTCTCAACCATTTTGTGGCAAAGTTCAGTCAGATTTTTTTATCTTACAAAGAAGATGATTTAAATTAAAAAAAAAAAAAAAAAGAAATTGGTATCCAAAGTCACACAGTGGTATAATTAGTAATGGAGGCTTGGTCCCAAATGTTTGTCTTCATATAAACATTTTCCTATACATTTTTCCTTTGAATTATGAAGTGTCAATATTCTTCAAGGGTTTGGCAAAAGACATGCTTTGGATGAATATCGAAAAGAAATTCATACTATAACTCAGACCTATGGGAAGAAATTGACTTGCGAATTATGCTACATTGAGTAGGAGAAAAACCACAAAGGTAAACTGCCTTCAGTTCTTCCTTTTGGTTTTATTTTTTTGTGAAGATTTGATCTGACAGAGAGAAAGAGAGCACAAGTAGGCTGGAGAGAGAAGCAGGCTCCCCACTGAAAGAGAGCCCAACAGGGGATTAGATCCCAGGACCCTGAGACCATGACCTGAGCTGAAGGCAGAGGCTTAACCCACTGAGGCACCCAAGTGCCTCATCATTTTAGTTTTAACTCTCTCTTTATTCTGTGGTTCATTTAAGTATAGGATTTGTATTGATACCCTATATAAAAATAAATATTTGATACAAAAGATCAGCATCTTACTGTCCTAAATCACTAAGTAAAGATGAACAAGCCATCAAAAAATTATTCAACCAACTCAGAGGCCTCCTACAGAGACTTTTTATCTTCCACTTTGTAATATGTTTGTATCATATAAATGTTTAGTTTCATTTTCTACCTCATCCTGAAACTATTTTGTTTGTATATAGTCCACTAGTGACCACTGTCAAGCTTAACATTTGCTTCTATATCATTTAACAGCAACTTTAATGACTTATACTTGCCTCTTTAACAAATGTGTGTTTGGAAGGACCCAGAAAGATGTCCTTTCTGAGGACTTTGTTGTATATTCCTTTAGAATTGAAAAACATTTGGCAACTAATAATAATTTTTAAACATTTTTTTTTAAATTTACTGATTGAATTGATTTATAAAACATAATGTCAGGATTGAACAAAATGTCCTGAAAAATTGACTTATGGAAATCTCCATGAGACTAATCAGAAAAAAATTATATCCTATCATATCATATCCACTAAGTAGAACTTCATGATGTCAGGGTCATCATCTATATTCTCTAATGCACATGTCCAACACTGACTTGTGCAATATGTCTTTTCAGGAGACTGTTAAGCATTTTTACAGCATGGATCATGGAAAATAAGAATAACGTCACTGTGTTTATTCTCTCGGGACTGTCTCAAAACAAGAACGTTGAAATCCTCTGCTTTGTATTATTTTTATTTTGCTACATTGCTATTTGGGTGGGAAACTTACTCATAATAATTTCTATCATGGGCAGTCCACTAATGAACCAACCCATGTATTTCTTCCTTAATTGCCTCTCACTCTCTGACCTTTTCTACACCTCAACAGTGACACCTAAACTAATGGCTAATTTGCTGGCAGAAAGGAAGACCATTTCCTACAGTAACTGCATGACACAGCTTTTTACCATACATTTATTTGGAGGCATGGAGGTCTTCATCCTCACAGGGATGGCCGATGACCACTATGTGGCCATCTGCAAACCCCTACACTACACCATCATCATGAGCAGAGAGAGGTGTAATGCTATCATCACAGCCTGCTGTACTGGGGCCTTAATCCACTCTGCCAGTCAGTTCCTCCTCATCATCTTCCTACCCTTCTGTGGCCCCAATGAGATAGATCACTACTTCTGTGATGTGTATCCTTTACTGGAGCTGGCCTGCACGGACACAGGCAGAATTGGTCTCTTGGTCGTTGTTAATTCAGGGCTGATTGCTCTGATGACTTTGTGATTTTGATGGTATCCTGTTTTCTGATATTATACACCCTTAGGGCTTACCCTGCTGAGAGCCGCTCCAAAGCTCTTTCCACCTGCACTTCCCATGTCACAGTTGTGGTTCTGTTCTTTGTGCCTGTTCTCTTTATTTACATTCAGCCCCCTTCAACTTTTCTGGAAGACAAAGTGTTTGCTCTTTTCTACACCATCATTGCCCCCATGTTCAACCCTCTGATCTACACACTGAGAAACATGGAGATACAGAATGCTGTGAAGAAAATGTGGTATCATCATTTGTTTGGGGAAGGGAAGTAACTTGTATTAAGAACATTCTAGAATTTCATTTTAGGATACTATCTTGAGCCTTAGAAGTAAGAAGAAATGATATACACAGAGTATATCATGATTGCAAAAGCCAACCACAGGTTGGAGCTCAGAATCTTTAGCATTTCCTCAGACCTCTACTGACTGGATAAATTTATTATTTTTACAGATTTTTTTGTATTTTTTATTGAAGTATTATTGACATACGACATCCTGTCAACTTCAGGTATACATCACAGTGATTCAATATTTTGTACACTTTGAAATTATCCTCACAATGAGTCTAATTATCATCTGTCACCACACAAAGTTATTATAATATTATTGATGATTGGATAATTTTCACTTATTTTTTCATTTCATTCTGGTTAGAACCAGATCTAATCTCCTCACATGCCAGTCCCAAGTACTCCTTAATTTGATACTTTATCTTGAACATGTAATGAAGTCCTTTTTCTCCTCCTCTTGACTCCATTATCACTACAGTGTGACTCCTGTTGGTAGAAACAATAGGAAACTACCTGGTAGATTAGAAATACAGGTAGATTTCATCATCTCAGAGGAGAGCATATATAGTAGGTTTTTGAGCTGAGGGCAATAGGTACATGAGCTATTCAGCATTCATAAACACTTTTCTGTATGATATTTGAGCCTAGTCTCCCTCTCTCCCTTCCATAAATGAAACATAATATTCTCAACATTTGGACAAAGTTAATTTTGTGTAATTTTCTCTTCTAGTTCAGGTTATAATCCTTCCTGAAAGATCTGTAACATTAAGAACAGGCTTTAAAATTACTCAATACACTGTTACATTGCTACAAGGGTCCTTGTTTCTATGACTGGTCATTAGATTTACGTTAACATTTATACATTTCTTCCTTGCACTGCCTACTCACTCTTCCCTTTGATTTAAAGTTAACCTTTATTATTGGGGTTCATTATCTACTAATGTGTACCAAATTTTTATTCTTGACATTCTGAATCTTTAATGGTCCTGCCATTTTTTCTTGTTTTTTTTTTCTTTTTTTTTTCTTTTTTTAAATTAACATTTATTATTAGTTATAGAGATTTTAAGAGATGGGCTGGGTTCCAAATAGTGATCATTCATGTTCCATTGTGTCAAACAAACAGATGTCATCTCATCATCAATACCAATTCCTCCAACCCCTTTTTATCTTTTGGTTTAGTAAAGGCATGAAGACTCCAAATGGTGTCTAGGTGGCAACTTCAATTTCCAGTTCAATAAAATAATTGTTGTGGTCCCTCATGAAACCAAACATCTATAACTAAAACCTAAAGGCCAGATGAGCTGGAAACTTTTGGTACAGGAACAGAACTATAAAGTACTTTAGTGTAATAATAAAGGAGGCACTTGCATATACATCCTTCAATTCCATAGGGTTCTATAACTCTTCATGATGGCTATGGGAGAAATATAACCATCTGTTGCTCAACACATCCTTGAAAATATAACTCAAGCTTTTCAGGGTGCTATTTCTCGATTGGTGGTGTGTTTGGTAAACCATTTCTTCATTGTATCTAATCAGTTACCTAGATAAATGGGGTATAAATGAGTTCACTAAGGCTGCCATAAAATAATACCATAGATAGGATGGCTTAAACAGCAAAAAATATATTTTCTGTCAGTTCTGGAGTCTGAAAGACCATGGTCAAACTACTGACAGGTTTAGTTTGTTTTCCAATGTTATTTAGACTATGGTTGCCTTAGAAACAACCAAATTCCTCACTTCTCTCCCAAATGAGTCTGCATACTGTCCTTATCTGTTCCTGATCATAACTGACGCATCATTTCCAGACATTCTCAGTCTGCCTCAAGTCTTTGTGCATTTTGTTCACTCAGGTCAGAAAGTCTCTCAGTTGTGCCTTTCATAATTTACAGTCGATCCTTGGACAATGTGGGGATTAGCAGCATGTATAATTTTTTGAGCTCTGGCCCAAACTTAACTACTAATCATCTACTGTTGACTGGAAGCCCTACCAATAACATGAGCAGTTGATTAACACATATTTTGAATGTTGTACAAGATATAAGTGTTATATACTGTATTTTTATAACAAAATAAACTAGTTAGTAGGAAATTCATAAGGAAGAGTAAATATAGTACTGTACTGTATTTACTGAGAAAATTCCACATGTAACACAACTCACAGTTCAAGCCCATGCTATTCAAGGGTCAATGGTATTATCATGTGCTACTCAACCTTCTCTAAGTTATGTGCCCCCTTTCTAGCTATTTTAACCATGTTTACCACTGTATCTCTCTTTGTAATTGGTTTCCCTGGATTACAAACACATCTTATTTCTTTTAGAGGAACATTTTCTTCATTTTATTGAGCAAAATCCTCACTGTGGTATTTGTAGGAGGAAGTGTATAAATTTATACCAGCTCTCAGAGTTAAGTCTGTGAAACCAGTTGCCAATGTGGGGGCTGGAGGAAGAAGTAGGGCCATTGGGGTATGAAGTCGCACACAGAAGTTTGCCACCCACTGTTCAATTTATTTATTCTGTGCTAAAGCAGACTTCACAACCTGGCCTTAGGCGTCTTTGGCATTTTCTAGTTTAACCTCTGCTGAGATATTGTTCCATACTGTCCCTCAGAATCTGTTTCAACAGGAAGCACATGATTTATCGCCTATCAGTAATAAAGAGAAGTGAACTCTTAGTTTGTGCTCCAACTCCTCAGAGTATAAAAAGTTATTAACCATGGCATAGCTACTTTTTTAAGACTGGAAAGGAACTAAGTCTTGTTTAGCTGTACATTGGCCAACTTTTCTTTTGGGAAATGTCTCATCCCATAGAAAGAGTGAGAGGGAGGTTTGGGGTTATATTCTCCTAGGTCATGTACTTTAAATGATCCCTGGAAATTAGAGAGAACACATGTATATATTTCCAACACTAAAACCAATGAATATACAACTTTTGGGTAGAAAACAAACAAAAGCATTTTCTGTTAGGGTCCGTAATCAAAGGAGAGAGACTGATACAAAGCGAAGGTCAAGCAAAGCTTTATTTCCCACGAAGCATCGAGAATCAAACTGACTGGTCAGGGCCATCTCTTGCAAAGAGGAAAACCTTCTCAGCCTCACCAACTAACTTTTATAGAGGTAGTTTAGCCGAGCTATACACAGGTGGCCAATGAGATTGTAATACACAGAGAAAACTGCACAGTCATGTTAGGTCACACATGGGCAGCCAATTGAATTACAATTCACCCTAGTAGATATAGGTGTGCCCCACTGATTGGCTGTCTCTACCTGGCCTGACCCGCCCTTGTATCTGGGATTTGCAAGCAAGTTCCTCTGGGAGGGGCAGGGTCAATCTAAGTTTTCTGATTAACAACAAACTGGCTCCCTCTGATTAAGTAGGCCCTTACATTTCAACATAAATGCTAATGATGATTTTATTTCCTTTTAGTTTCAAAAATCAAGAGAGAAAGCTTTTCTTTATAAGGGAAATAGGAAAGTCCCAGAGCCAGGACTTATATGGGCTGCTTTCATGGTGAAATTCATTAATCTTTTGTAACAAAATTGAGCATTTATTTTGACTCTATTGAAAACACCAGAGCCACTTTTTACTCAGAGTTTACTCAGAGATAATGAAATTTTTCTAATGAGATGATCACCTGGTAAGTAAAAATCCAAACAACATATTCTAAACAAACATGACTTTCAAATTTAAAAAGCTTATATATATATATATATATATATATATATACACACACACACACACACACACACACACATACATATATGTATATATATGTATATATAAACATATCTATATATAAATTAAATTTTAATTAAAATAAGTTTATATATATAAATTAAATTTTAATCTATAGGTATGTTAATTGAATAGGTGTATCTCTCTTTTCAAGTTTTGCTAACTTTCCATTACATTGATACAATTCAATGCCTGTCAATATTACGTCCCCTCTTCTTCTGTTACGTTGAACTGTTGGCAGGAAAACTGATCCTTGTCTCCATTCAATGCAGCCCTCTTTTGAACCAACCCATGTACTACTTCCTCAGCCACTTATCCTCTATGGATATCTGCTATACCTCTACTGTCACACCCAAATTCATTGGTGACCTACTAGGGGAGACAAAGTCCATCTCTTATGGTAATTACATGTTACAAGTATTTGCCATGCACTTCCTTGGGAGTATCAAGGTCTTTATTCTCATAGTCATGGCCTTTGATTGCTACGTTGCCTCTCCACTATGTGATTATCATGGACAGGACAAGGTGCCATCTCCTAGTCTTGGCTGCTTGGGCTGGTGGGGCTCTCCATTCTTTTCCTCAATTATTGATGGCAATCCAATTGCCCTTTTGTGGTCCTAATGAAATCAATCACTACTTTTGTGATATCTTCCCTCTGCTGAGAGTTGAGTGCACTGATACTTACATCACTGGTGTCCTTGTGGTTGCCAATTCAGGTATGGTCACCTTAGTTACCTTTATTGCCTTGTTTATGTTGTTATATTTAGTCTATGACATCACTCAGCTGAGGGAAGACACAAAGCCCATTCCACCTGTGGGTCTCATATCACTGTGGTCAGCTTATCATCAGGCAGATGAGGCTGAGTCTAAACCACCTGTGAATAGTCAGTGAGCAGAGGACAAACAAGATGGGAAACACGTTAAGAAGGCACATGATGTGAAGAGCACCTGGTGTTATATTCAACTAATGAATCATTGAACATTACATTGAGAACTACTGACGTACTATACCGTGACTAATTGAATTTAAATTTTAAAAGAAGACTGGAAAGTACTGTGTGAGGGTAAACCACTGTAAACAATAATATATCTTTCATTACATTGTCATTTTTATTATGGAGACACAAATAAAAGCAGAATATATACCATCCTCTCTGAAAAACATTAAATGTTGACCAGACACATTTGTATGATATACATAAATGATTGTTTCTAAGTAATCAAATAGAGAGATTACATTTTTTAA